CCCCCCCCCCCCCCAGGGTACGGGCACGGTGGATGGATGCATGCCCAAAAAAGTGACCGACACACCCAGACACACCACACACACACACATATAAGATAGGATGAATGACATGCTCGCTTGCCACACGTGTGAACGCGTAGATGTCCTGTACGTGTTGTATGCATGCATCATGCACCAAGTCGATTAAGTGGGCGGCTGTCTTCTTCGCTGAATTAGCACGAGCTGGGCCCCTCTGTCTGTCGGTCTGTCTGTCTGTCTGGTGAGACATAAATAGCACTCTCACACGCACGCCGTATGGATGGATGGATGGATGGATGGATGGATGGAGACAGGCAGACAGTGAGGTGGCGTAAGGAAGGGCGAGACACACAGAGAAAGTCAGGAGAAAAATCACTCACCGACCAGACCAATGGATGGAGGCATTGCATTGCATTGATGGACGGATGGACAAAACCAAACCAAAAAGGACTCACAGAAAAATCCAAACCAAATCACCTACCTCCCTCCCCACCCACCTATAATGGGGGGTCGACCAAGGCCCCATCTACACACACACACACACACACACACACAGAGAGAGAGAGAGAGAGAGAGAGAGAAAGACGTGCGCATTCCCGTGCACTCATACCCACCACAACCAAGCCGCCGCCTCATTTCATTTCTCCCCACCTCACCTGGCAGGTTGAATCCCTCCTTGAGGCCGCCATTGGTATCCAGCAGGCCGTAGAAGTCCTCAAACCCGCACTTTTCGTAGTCAAAGTCGCCACCCTCGCCCACATGCTCGCAGTTGAAGAACCGCCACCGCCGCGGCGCGTCTGTCGACGCAAAGTGGAACACACACCGCTCACGCACCCCTCCCTGCTGCACCACCACACCACTCCCAGCAGCCATCTGGACCTGCTCCTTCTTATCTGGGGGCTGCTGTGGATCGGCTGCCGACGGTGGCGCGACGACGATAGGCCGCCTGACGACAAACTGCGGGCTGATGGAGGACTTCTCCGCCGTTGGTGGTGGGCCTTCGAGCTTGGGGAGGGCTGAGGGGTCGCCGACAAGGTTAGGCAGGTAGGGGCTGCATGTCTCCCGGGTCTCCTGGTCTTGCCAGAGACACAGCTGCCACGCGGTGGGCGGGGGCGATGATCCTCCTGGGAAGCGGAAGACCTCCCACCTGAAGTACCACCTGCCGTTCCAGTAGTCGTGGGGAGACGTCCAGTCGGCTGGCCAGCCCGCACGCGCTGACGCCGGAGGGGCGTAGTCGTAATCGTAATCGTACTCGTCTTCTCCTCCGTCTGGTGCTGCTTCGGTCGGCTGGCCTTCGAGCTTGTCGAACCAGAAGCCGCGCTCCGCATCGCCCGGTCCCCCCACCCTGCTCAGGGTCACCACCCTGTCCACCACCAGAAACTCCGTCTCGCTCTGACCACCACCACTAGCACCACCACCACCTCCTCCTCCTCCTCCCTCGCCCGACATGTACGCCGCCCAGTCGTTTGAGAACTCTGCGCCCTCGGCCACAGCGATGATGGTGACGCGCATCTCAAGAGGCAGGTAGTCGACGGCCCTGTCCCAGCATGACTCTTTGTCGACTGAGAGGTCAGACACGATGCAGCCCCAGGGGGAGTCGTTGCCGTCGAGGGCCCGGAGGGGGCCGCCGATGAAGTCTAGGTCGGTTGGGCGGGCGAAGTCCACTGGCTTGTCGGCTGTGGCGTGCCACCAGTCGGTGGCGGGCGTAGACACGCTGTAGACGATGTGACTCCGGTTCGCTGCACACGCGTGTTGGGAGGCATTTGGTGTGTCTGTGTCTGTGTCTGTGTGTGCGAGGTTGTTACTTGTCTCTGAACGGAGTTCCAGCGGCAGGTCATCCACCGGCATCATCAGGGGACGCTGTCTTTTCTCCTCATCTTCCTCCGGCTCAGGCTCTATCGGCTCCATAGGCTCCATCCCCGCTGCCTCTTCTGTGTCGACTGTCTCCACCTCGCCCCCGTCCCGTGTGACCGACAGCTGGTAGTCATAGTAGCTGTCATCACCACCAGGCCGCTTGTCGTTGGACGTCACATAGGGGCTGCACCCCTCCCGCCCCCCCGTCTGCCACACGCACACCTGCCACGCCGAGGGGGGCGGCCCGTCGCCATCCGGTCGGCCGAAGATCTCCCATCGCGTGTGCCAGCTGCCGTGGTAGTAGTCGAAAGGGTCCATCCAGCTGTCGGGGTAATCCGCCACTGCAGCGGCGCTCTGCTGGTCGAGGGCGTGCCACCAGAAGCCGTGGTGGCTGCCGGGGTCGCCGGCGCCCTTGGCCACGGTGACGATCTTGTCTAGGACGAGGAGCTCGCCGAAAGCCAGGGGCAGGTTTGGGTTGTTGAGGTAGTGGACCCAGTTGCCCGAGAAGTCGGTTCCGTCTGCCACGGCGACGATGGTGACGCGCATCTCGAGAGGCAGGTAGTCGTCAGCCCGCTCCCAGCAGGACTGGGAGGGCGATGTGAGGTCCGACACGATGCAGCCCTCCTCGGTGCCGTGTGCGCCGTCGAAGGCACGGACGGGGCCGCCGACGCGGGTCTTGCCGTCGACTTGGGAGAGGTCGATTTGGTTGGACGGATCCTTGTGCCACCAATCCGTGGCGGGGGAGGATGAGCCATAGATCACAATCCCGCTGCCGTCACGAGCTGCAGACAGAGAGACAAGACATGTATACATACATGGCCAGTTTCGATGAGTTGAGTGCGCACCATCTCTGTTAGAGATGGGGCTGAGTTGTGCCGCCTTGAGCTCGACGGCCTCCTCCGCCTTGTCTTCAACCACCGCCTGGCTGGTGGCGGTGAGCGAGTGCGAGTCGGAGTGCTCTTGAGCAGCAGCAATGGTGGCCTGTGTGCCGGTCGAGACATAGCTGTAGACGTACTGGAGGAAGTCGTTGGCGTTGCCGATGTCGGCCTGGTCGCCATTGCCGGTGGGCCACCCCGTCTGACCCACATACACAGCTATGTCAGGATAGCCTGCCCAGCCCAACACACCACACACAACACATCCAGTGATGCAATCTTAATGGTCCTCCTGTGGCAGGGCACCCATACTCACTCACCTAGCCGTGACAGCGCGGCCTTGAGTGTGTCGACAAGTGCCGCCATCAGCCCGGTGTACTGCGTGCCCGTCCCGTCGTCCGTGTAAGAGCCCTTCCCAAGCGCAAAGTTCAGGTCGACGTCGGCCTCCCCCTTGGTATACACGTCATACACGTTGACGTTGAACAGCATGGGGGCGCCCTGGCTCTTGAGCACGTCCAGGATGCTCTTCAGGGCCTCCTGAAACTCATCGACAAACTCGCCTGACGATGGGGGCAGCAACTGACGAAAAAGGAGCAACAAGCGCATTTCAGTGAGACGTGTTGTCGGCGTGTTCTGCTCTTCTGTGGCTACTTGTTTGAGGATGGTTGGCCCCTCTGCGACTGTGACCCAGAAGGACGCTTGTGCGCTGTCGACGGCCGCCTTGAGGGTGTTGAGAGATGCGAGCAGCAGCTCAGCCGGGGCTCCGCCCTGGTTCTCGTGCAGTGTGCCGCTGCCCACCACAATCGCCTCCACCTTGTCTTGGAAACCCTGTGTGTGTGTGGGAGGGAAAGAGTCCGCATACATATGTGTTGACAAAAGGATGGTCACGTCACCGACTTGACTTACCGTGAGGTGGTCGATCATCTCTTGTGCCTTTGCCTCGGTCATGCCGAGCTGGCCGTTGGAGATGCCGACATAGATGCGGCATGGGTCGCTGCCGAAGGCCGACGAGACGCTCTGGGCCTCGCTCTGCAGCGGGAACAGACTGTTCTCCCACGTCTTGATGTACTCCACTCCCGCACTCTGACATGACACACGCAAGACAACACACACACAGGGCACGCACGTCGAGGGAGGCACAATTATATGGACGCGCAGCCCCACCGCCACCCCCGCCCACCTTGAGTGCGTCGATTGATGATTGGATTGTGTCCTCCGAAGCCACCAGATTGACACCCCAGCACCAGCCTTCACCAGGAGTCTCCGGAGGCGTCTCCGGAGGCGGCGGTGGACCATCTTCAGGAGGCGGTGGGCCCGGTGTGGTTGTGGTCGTCCCGTCAGGTGGAGGCGGTGGGTTCGGCGCTTCCGTCGAGCCATCTGGTGGGGCCGCAGATGGACTAGCTGTGGTGTCTGGCTGTGGAATGGGCGTCATCGGAGGGTCCGTCATCGGTGGCTCCATTGAGGGTGTCAGTGGCTGAGTGGTGGGCATCGATGTGGAGGGGTCTGACGGCTGGGTGGTCGGCACCACTGACGGCATGTCGGTAGGGGTGGGCACCACCTCGGTCGGCGTGGGGGGTGAGGATGGCACAGATGAAGGATCGGACTGGGCCGTCTGGTACACTGCAGAGAGAGGAAGACAGGCAGACACAGCACAGCACAGCGACACACACCTGCCTGCGACTGCAGCATTCCCTCCCATTTCGTTTGTTCGCCTGCTTACGCATGAGAATGGACGGCGAGCCATCGACGCCCAGAATGTTGAGCGGCATGGCGGTGACCTCCACATACTCCTCACCCTCGAACAGCTTCATAATCTCGTTTATCGGCTCATACACGACCCCCCCGTTGTCACCCGTCGCCGTGTATGGCTGGTCCTTGTCGACGCTCCGCACGGACCCGCTCTTAAAGGTCGCCATCATCCCCGTCGGCCCCCGGATCTCGAAGCCGCCCGCACTGACCTTGGCGTCGCACTCGACGGCCACGACGGCGAAGGTAGTGGTGCCGTCCCACTCCTCCTCCATGAGCTTGGTCAGGTCGACGGTGGCCGTGTCGGTTAGGTGGTCGGCCCGGAAGAACCAGGGGGTCGTGACGGGCTCCTTGTCCGCATTGAGAGGGATCAGCTCGAAGCCAATGAACTTGGGATCTGAATGAACACAGCACGAACGACACGGCCGTGCCAGACAGACCGACATGGACGGAATACATGTCATGTCGGCCAGACGACACGGCAGGTGGTGCTCAGGTTGGGAATGTCGCGTCGCACCTGAGCAGGGTCTCCCCTGGATGTAGATTGATATCTCGAGCTGAACGCCCGGCGTCTTGTCGGCGGACATCGGCGTCGCCCGCAGGATGTAGTGCCCGTCGGGCACCACTTCCTCCTCCGACTCGCCAGTGAGGGCATCCATCAGCGACTTGAGCAGCGTCCTCGTGTCGCCCTCCGACTCCTCAGTGCCGAATGCCGCCCACGCCCAGTCCTGTGGGGTGCCTTCATCTGGGGTGGGCGTGGTTGATGATGACGGTACGGGGACCTCTGGATCGGGCGATGTCGGCATGGCTGGTGCGGTGGTCGGCATCGGTACAGTCGTCGGCATTGGCGTGGTCGACGACAAGAACCCATCTGGTACGGGTGTTGTGGTGGACGTGATGGGTATCTCAGGAGGGGTGGTGCTTGTGGCGGGCGACTGCTCTGGAGCAGGCTCTTCAGGGGCGGGATTGACAGGCACCAATGGATCCTGAGGCTTAACGACCACCCACGGCTCGTCAATCACGGTGTTCCCGGGCGGATTGCATCCGAAATTGTTCATCGCACAAGCCGGCCGCTGGCAGGAGAAACACACGGGGCTGCGAGTGGGCCGCCGGGGCCAGGCCTTCCGGCCGTGGTGGCCGATATGCAGCGGCTGCCGATACATCCTGCGGAATGTCAGGGAGTCGGCCGTCTCTTGCGTGTCGTTGAGACTGTCCACATCCAGCGCCGTCGCCAGGGATTTGGCCGCCTCAGGAGGCACAATCTTGTACGCCATTGCCGACGCGGGCGGCTCCTCAGCAAAAGTCATGTTCTTGGCCAGCTCGCTGAGCGACAGCCGTTGAGCGGAGGCGGCGAGTCTCCCATCGTCAAGAATCGCCTTGGCTTCATACTCAAAGATCGCCTCGCCGGTCTCATTTGCGTTTGCGGCCGGGTTGAAGAGCTGAAAGAAGACGGTATCGACGCCATGGTTGGACTTGCCGAGGACCAAGAAGGTGAAGTGCTGCACCATGGTTGCATCGAGGAACATGGTGCGGTGGGTGGAGAGGTCGATGGGCCCGCTGCGGGACACCACACTCCCGTCTTCATCAAGCTCGACGAACTCCATCTCCATGACTGTTTCTGCCGGGTGCGCAGGGACCGCTGCAGCTGCATCTGTGCTTGCCTCTGACTGCACGTTTGTCTGGGCTTGACCGACTGTCGTCTTTGGTTCACCGGCTCCTCGACTCCGACGCTTGTAGTTGATGAAGCGCTCTGAATGATAGATAGAGGGAGCGCGGACGAGAGAAGCCATGATTGGGTGTGATTGGCTTGGCCTGGCCAAGCCTTGCTCGGTATCTCACAAACCCACTGACTCACCCCATTTTCGTTTGATCTCCTCGGTGGTTTCGGTGAGGATGCTGCTGCTGAGGGGGCTCCTGCTCTGAAGGCCTCGCAGCACTGACGATGACAACGACTTGCCTGATCAACGGCCGGCCGGCCACACACATTGAATCTTGAATCAACAAACCTCACAGCCAGGCGGTGTGTCTGCCCGGTCGGTCGGTCTCACCATGTGGGTCAAGCAGGCTCATAAATGGCAGGTACTCGTCCAGCAGGCTCAGCCCAAGCAATAGGATAACACCGGCCGCCAGTGCATTGAGCATAGCCATTGCCATTGTGCACCACGAGGGGCTCCAATTGAACTGACTGCTCCCGTCCTTCACAGCTGGACCGATGTGGACATCAGCTGCCAACGCCGAGCATACTCTCTTCTTGTCCTGTCTGCCCCCGACATAGTGCGCGATTCAGCCTTGACTCACAGAAGATTCCCACCTTTCGTTTCAGCCTCACGCACATACGCGCCGTTTTTTCGTTTTATTTCGTCCCACCCTCGTGGAGGAGTCAGCTGAGCTCCCAAGGCGGGCGGGCGGGCGTCGCTTCACATCATCCAAGCATTCATTTCTTCAATGGCATCTTTCGTTTATCTGTCCCCGAGTGTCATCTTGACAGGCCACTACCTGACGCTGGGCATCGCCCCGGGCGCCTCTAAGGACGACATCCGCAAAGCGTATTTGAGGGCCAGCCTGCGGGTCAGTAAACAGCAGATGCCCCTTCTCATCCACAAGATCCACGAGAGAGATCCACCCTGGTTTGCCTTGCTGCTTCTTGGTGCATACAGACTCATCCGGACAAGCCGGGAGGCACGAAGGAGGCCTTTCAGAGGGTGCAGGAGGCCTTCGCCATCCTCTCTGATGACGCGCAACGACAGGCGTATGACCGAGAAGGTAAGGCACACGCGACGAGAGAGAGAGCTGCACTTGTTACCAATGGCTTGGAAGGCCGTGAATGTGTGTGTGTCACGGTCGATCAGTCGGTGCGGGTGGCAGTGTGCATGAGCCCCGTCCCTCGTCGGCCTCTGGCCAGAAGCGCCGACGTGAGAGCGACGAGTCCACGAGCCCTGGCTGGTCATGCGACGAGAGTGACGAAGACGGCCCCGACGACAACACCATTCGGTTCGGCACCAAGCACTACGGGCGCTCCTTCGACTGGGTGGAGAGGTACGGGTGTGCGGCCGTATGACACACTGCCGCGTATTTCTGGGGATGGATGGATGGATGGCTGGGGTGCGCTTGTCCGTCCATCAGGCACGATCCGGGTTTCATCAAGTACGTGTTGGGCAAGGGCCGCGTCCACAACGTGAATGAGCTCATGTGGCCGTCGCGGGGCCGCAAATACAACAAGGCAAGCCAGTGAAGTAGATAGAGGGACGGACGATGGATGCGATGCATGTGTGTGTGTTCGTGTGTGTCCCCTCGCGAAGTGTCAAACAATTATGTGAATGTTGGTTGGTTCAGTTCTACGACTACTGCAAGGCCAAGTACGGCAACGGGAGCTCCCTCAACTGGTCGCGGTGCTGGTACTACGACCCCTGCGACCCTTACGAGGTACCTACAAACCAGAGAGACAGACTGATGGCTTTCGGTTGCCAGACGACCTGTGCGTCCTTGGTCTTCATTCAGGTATTGAGAACGGGTAGAATGAGAGGCGCCTGACTGAATGGGCCTGCCTGCCTGCCTGCCTTCCTGCCTGACTCATCGATGTAGGTGACCAAGCCGCCCACTGACTAAGTAACTCACCGGCTCACTCACTCATTGGCTCGCGTGACGTGACGATGACAGGCAGACAGGCAGACAGGGAGGGAGGGAGGGACGCGACCAAACGCATGTCGCTGTGTGGTGGTGGTGGGGTGGTTTGGGCCACTGTTGGGAGATATTTCTCCAGCTGGCTTTTGCTGTGCTGTGCCGTGAAGCACAGGTAGTAGGTTGGACACATCTGTGTGTGTGTGAGTATGCTATGCTTTGCCGACGTAGCGACGGGCGAGGTGTGTCTGTCTGTCCGTAGTGAGTTGGTCGGTGGGGTGGGAGAGGAACAGACAGACGAGTGGCGTGTATGGTGTGATTGATGTGTTCTTCATCGACTGACTGGCGGAGGGACCCACCCACATGTAGTGAGCGTGCTGAATCGTTCGCTATTAGGCAGGCAGCGCAGCATCGACTAGTCCACCAAATACATACATTATGCAGGGAACATCCACCTACACTCCCGCACACACACACACACAGAGGGAGAGTCGTCAAGTCAAAGTCACAAAACTCACTCGCACCCACATCCACACCCACATCCACACGCACACAGGAAGGCACAATCGCACAAATAGACCGTCTGTACGCAAGCCAAGGAGAGAAAAGAGGAGAGGGGAAGAAGGCCAGGATATGCAGGTAGGTAATGTAAGGGAGGGCAAAAGCGGGCAGCAACCACACCACACCACACAGCTGGCCAAGGCAACAAAGGAAAAACGAGTCAGTACCCACCGCCGCGCACCGAGTGCACGCCATGCGACCAACAATCCGTGGCTGTGTGTGTGTGAGAGTTAGAAAATGAATAACAGACTAATGTGGCAGGCAGGCAGGCAGGCAGTGGGCAGCAGTACATTCGATGTGATGTATGGTACAAGACTGACTGATTGGCTGACCGGTTCAAAACCGCGCACACTCTCCGCATGCGACCGACCGACCAACCGACCGACAGACAGACACCCCACCCCACCCACCCCCCCCCCCCCCCCCCCCCCCCC